ATAAATGCTAAGCTACTTTGGGGTGTGTCAAACATTTGTGAAGTGAATTAAAGTGAACGTTTGTGAATAATAATGCCGCCGAAAACAAGTGGGAAGGCAGCCAAAAAGGCTGGTAAGGCTCAGAAAAACATTACCAAGAATGACAAGAAGAAGAAGCGCAAGAGGAAGGAAAGCTACGCTATCTACATTTACAAAGTGCTCAAGCAGGTCCACCCTGACACCGGCATTTCGTCAAAGGCGATGAGCATAATGAACAGCTTTGTTAACGACATTTTCGAGCGTATTGCTGCCGAGGCCTCCCGTTTGGCTCACTACAACAAACGCTCGACTATTACCAGTCGGGAAATCCAAACCGCAGTACGTCTTTTGCTGCCCGGCGAATTGGCCAAGCACGCTGTCAGTGAGGGAACAAAAGCAGTTACAAAGTACACCAGCTCCAAGTAAAATTCAGCTAGATGTGCATTGTACGGGAAGCAAACAAAAGCAAAAGGCCCTTTTCAGGGCCACAAATCTCTTTTTCAAGGAATTAAAAATATTTTTAAATATCAGAATATTGTCCATATATAGATACATATTTCAGAAAATTAACATAGTAATCAAACAGTCGTCATCCTTATGAAATAAAAAAGATAACTAAATATCTGTTGGCTACAGCAGTGGATCAGTATTCCATACTATCCCGACTAGTAATATTTTTTGCAAATATCCAATAGCTCTTTTTTGCTATTCTAGCTGAAAATGTCTCAATAGGCAAACGCGTACAGTTTTTTTCGAGCATGATACTGCAAGTGAAATTCGGTGAGATAGAAAATATGTAATTTGTTTTTAGATTATTCCTATCACAGTGTTGTCTTTTTTGGTATGATGGACAGATTTTTGTACATTAAATTCAAGATGTATATAGGAAAATATCAATCTCTTTGTTTAAAATATTTTGTGGTCCTGAAAAGGACCGATTTTTTGTTTATATTTATGTATTAGAGACGAGGTAGACTTAAGCGCGCTCCCCACGAATACGTCTGGCCAGTTGAATGTCCTTGGGCATGATGGTGACACGCTTAGCGTGGATAGCACACAAATTTGTATCTTCGAATAGGCCAACTAGATAGGCTTCGCTAGCTTCCTGCAAGGCCATCACAGCCGAGCTCTGGAAACGTAGGTCGGTCTTGAAGTCTTGAGCAATTTCGCGTACTAAACGCTGGAACGGCAACTTGCGAATAAGCAGTTCTGTGCTCTTCTGGTAGCGACGAATTTCACGCAGGGCAACAGTGCCTGGCCTATAGCGATGAGGTTTCTTCACACCACCAGTTGCTGGAGCACTTTTACGTGCTGCCTTAGTAGCTAACTGTTTCCGAGGAGCCTTTCCTCCAGTTGATTTACGAGCAGTCTGCTTAGTACGAGCCATCTTTCTTTCACAATTCTAACTTCACACTGTCACTGTTAAAAACACAATAATCGTGCGTCTCGTTTGTGTATCGCTTATATAGAAAATGAGTGATAAGTTAGAAAGAGATCGATATATTCGCCGTTCGCTGTTTTGTCGAATATGTTACAAGGGTAGTATGTGAGCGCGATGGAAATATGTTTTCACTCGCTCGTCTTTTTGATTTTTTGGTATAAATATAAGCGCTGCCCGAAGAGCTAGCATTAGTATCTCTGTGACATTCGTGGTGTAAAGTGAAGTAAAAAAAAGAAAGTGAAAAATGACTGGTCGTGGTAAAGGTGGCAAAGGCTTGGGTAAAGGAGGCGCAAAACGTCATCGCAAAGTGTTGCGTGATAATATCCAGGGCATCACGAAACCAGCTATCCGGCGTTTAGCTCGTCGTGGTGGCGTAAAACGTATTTCTGGTCTTATTTATGAGGAAACTCGCGGTGTTCTAAAGGTTTTCTTGGAGAATGTCATCCGTGATGCGGTCACATACACCGAGCACGCCAAGAGGAAGACAGTCACAGCCATGGATGTTGTTTATGCGCTGAAAAGACAAGGCCGTACCCTGTACGGTTTTGGCGGTTAATAATAAATTATTGAATTTATGTTGACGCAATCGGTCCTTTTCAGGACCACCAATCCGTTTCATTAAGAGATAAAAGATATGTCAAGCTGTCAAGCGTCTCCATCTCAGATTCTGAGATCGACCGTGATCACAGATGTTCGTTTTTTAAACCCTGAACCCATTAAAAATGGACACAAGGGTATATTGTATTTGTGCAAAATCCAAATGTATGTAACAGGCAGAAGGATGCATCTCCGACCCCATAAAGTATATATATTTTTGATCAGCATCAATAGCCGAGTCGATCTAGCCATGTCAGTCTGTCCGTCCGTCCATATTTATGAACGCAAGGATCTCAGAACATATAAGAGCTATAGACTTGAAATTTTAGATGTAGGTGCTCCTAGTGCCTGCGCAGATCGAGTCGTTGCGAAAATGGAAACATTTTCGATGGAGATATGACGTTCCAAAACGACAGAACTCCACGCGGAGATATGACCTTCCAAATCATCACGATTTTTTTCAAAATCGAGGTCGGTGCGAAAATCGAAACTTTTTCGATGGAGATATGACGTTCCAAAACGACATAACTCCGCGCGGATATGATATGACTTTCCAAATCATCACGTTTTTTTTTTTAAATCGAGGTCGGTGCGAAAATCGAAACTTTTTCGATGGAGATATGACGTTCCAAAACGATATAACTCCGCGCGGATATGATATGACCTTCCAAATCATCACGTTTTTTTTCAAAATCGAGGTCGGTGCGAAAATCGAACCTATTTCGATGATTTTTTTTTAATATCTCGGGTAAATAATGTCTGATTTTAAAATGTTATACCTTTTTGAATGCGTACGGATACCTACCATCAATTGGCATTCAAACAAATTAATCATCGATGGGTTGAATAATGGGTCAAATAATGTCCGATTTTGCAATTTCATACCAAATTTGACTCGTAAGGATCAGTTCTATCGATTGTCATCAAAAAAAGGAAATCTAAAATTTTGACCCAAACCGACAAAATGGCAAGGGGTTACATCACGTTTTTTTCAAAATCGAGGTAGGTGCAAAAGTCGAAACTTTTTCGATGATTTTTTTTTTAATATCTCGGGTAATAGCCCCGCGCGGAGATATGACGTTCCAAAACGACACAACTCCACGCGGAGATATGACGTTCCAAAACGACATAACTCCGCGCGGAAATATGACGTTCCAAAACGACATAACTCCCCGCGGATATGATATGACCTTCCAAATCATCACGTTCTTTTTTTTCAAAATCGAGGTCGGTGCGAAAGTCGAAACTTTTTCGATGATTTTTTTTTGAATAACTCGGGTAATAGCCCCGCGCGGAGATATGACGTTCCAAAACGACATAACTCCGCGCGGAGATATGACGTTCCAAAACGACATAACTCCCCGCGGATATGATATGACCTTCCAAATCATCACGTTCTTTTTTTTCAAAATCGAGGTCGGTGCGAAAGTCGAAACTTTTTCAATGATTTTTTTTTGAATATCTCGGGTAATAGCCCCGCGCGGAGATATGACGTTCCAAAACGACATAACTCCGCGCGGAGATATGACGTTCCAAAACGACATAACTCCGCGCGGAGATATGGCCTTCCAAATCATCACGATTTTTTCAAAATCGAGGTCGGTGCGAAAATCGAAACTTTTTCGATGGAGATATGACGTTCCAAAGCGGCATAACTCCCCGCGGATATGATACGACCTTCCAAATCATCACGTTCTTTTTTTTCAAAATCGAGGTCGGTGCGAAAGTCGAAACTTTTTCAATGATTTTTTTTTTAATATCTCGGGTAATAGCCCCGCGCGGAGATATGACGTTCCAAAACGACATAACTCCGCGCGGAGATATGACGTTCCAAAACGACATAACTCCCCGCGGATATGATATGACCTTCCAAATCATCACGTTCTTTTTTTTCAAAATCGAGGTCGGTGCGAAAGTCGAAACTTTTTCAATGATTTTTTTTTTTTAATATCTCGGGTAATAGCCCCGCGCGGAGATATGACGTTCCAAAACGACATAACTCCACGCGGAGATATGACGTTCCAAAACGACATAACTCCGCGCGGAGATATGGCCTTCCAAATCATCACGATTTTTTCAAAATCGAGGTCGGTGCGAAAATCGAAACTTTTTCGATGGAGATATGACGTTCCAAAGCGACATAACTCCCCGCGGATATGATATGACCTTCCAAATCATCACGTTTTTTTTTTCAAAATCGAGGTCGGGGCGAAAATCGATACTTTTTCGATGATTATACCCTGAGCCCATTAAAAATGGGTATAAAGGTATATTGTATTTGTGCAAAATCCAAATTTATGTAACAGGCAGAAGGAAGCATCTCTGACTCCATAAAGTATATATACTCTTGATCAGCATCAATAGCCGAGTCGATCTAGCCATGTCCGTCTGTCTGTCCGTCCGTCTGTCCGTATGTATGAACGCAAGGATCTCAGAACCTATAAGAGCTAGTGCCCGCGGAGATCGAGTTTGTTTCCGATAATCGATAACTTACTCCGTTTCCAAGCCAATCGATATCCTGTATTTTGGGGAATTTTGGTAAATAATAAGAGCTAGAGTCCCCAAACTTGACATATAGCTTCGAAAATAGAACATATATATGCATTTGATGTTGGAAGAAGAGTGTTCAGGGTGTCCTTTAGTCGGGAGCTCCCGACTAGAACCTCTTACTTGTCTTACATATTTATTTTGTGCTTGTTTTTAATCTATCACAAACAAACAACCACCGCATTGGATAAGGCAATATTGCACATTTTTATTGACTAGTACGGTGAATGTACTTTTGAGCTCTAGAATGTAGTTTGTATTGAATCGATTTCGGATACATTAGTGAATGAAAAGATAATCTCTTTTTTGACATTTTTGGTCGTCCTGATAAGGACGTTTGGTTTCGAGTATTTACAAATGTATACGCTGTTTTATTTTTGTTTAGTGAACTAACAAATTATGCCTTCTTTTCAGTCTTCTTGGGCAACAGAACTGCTTGGATGTTGGGCAAAACACCGCCCTGGGCAATGGTGACGCCCGAAAGCAGTTTATTTAACTCCTCATCGTTACGAATGGCCAATTGCAAATGGCGAGGGATAATTCTGGTTTTCTTGTTGTCGCGTGCAGCATTGCCAGCCAACTCCAAAACTTCAGCGGCCAAATATTCCATAACGGCAGCCAAGTAGACAGGAGCACCGGCACCTACACGTTCAGCATAGTTGCCCTTACGAAGGAGGCGGTGAATACGACCAACGGGAAACTGAAGACCAGCACGGTTAGAACGCGACTTTGCCTTTCCCTTCACTTTTCCACCTTTACCGCGACCAGACATTTTCTTATTTTCTTTATTTCACTTTTTCACTGCTAGCACACAAATATCTAAAGTTTCTGAAATCTAACCACATGACCATTATATTTATACTTTTTTCAACTACCTTCTTCTTCGGCTTAGGGTTGCTAGTTGAACGTGATATAAATATGAAAGCGTCGTTTGAAAAAAGTTTAAATGCTAAGCTACTTTGGGGTGTGTCAAACATTTGTGAAGTGAATAAAGTGAACGTTCTTTAATAATAATGCCGCCGAAAACAAGTGGGAAGGCAGCCAAAAAGGCTGGTAAGGCTCAGAAAAACATTACCAAGAATGACAAGAAGAAGCGCAAGAGGAAGGAAAGCTACGCTATCTACATTTACAAAGTGCTCAAGCAGGTCCACCCTGACACCGGCATTTCGTCAAAGGCAATGAGCATAATGAACAGCTTTGTTAACGACATTTTCGAGCGTATTGCTGCCGAGGCCTCCCGTTTGGCTCACTACAACAAACGCTCGACTATTACCAGTCGGGAAATCCAAACCGCAGTACGTCTTTTGCTGCCCGGCGAATTGGCCAAGCACGCTGTCAGTGAGGGAACAAAAGCAGTTACAAAGTACACCAGCTCCAAGTAAAATTCAGCTAGATGTGCATTGTACGGGAAGCAAACAAAAGCAAAAGGCCCTTTTCAGGGCCACAAATCTCTTTTTCAAGGAATTAAAAATATTTTTAAATATCAGAATAATATCTCATATGAATGTAAGCGTTCTTAAAACTTTTCTATTATTTTAAATATTAGACCCGAAATTTACACATTACTCATTTCGTCTATGCGATCTTTTGGGGGTGTTTAGATTGGATGAATATATTTCTTATAGGCAAGCGGCAAGTAATTTGATCAATACTTTTTTATAACAATGTTTTATTTTGCGGTGGAATGAATAAGGAAGGAAGGTATGAAGTACGTAATTTATTTATATGATATTTACAATTATAAGTTGAGAAGTCCAATCGGACTTAAGGCAGCGTATATGAGTAGACATGGCATTTATTATATTTGCTGATATAGACAAAAAGAAAAATTCTTTCTCTTAGAAAATCGTATTTGTAGCCCTTAAAAGGGCTTTGTAGGAAAACAAATTTCATTATTAGAAATTTGCATATGCTGACAAGCAGTTAGCAATTTCAAATTATTTCTTCGTTGCAGATGCAGTCTTCGCTTTTGGCTTCTTGACAGCAGTTTTCTTGGGGGTCGTAGCCGACACGACTTTTTTCGGTTTAGCACTTGTGGTCTTAGGTTTAGGGGTCTTTGGCTTTGTTGCGCTTGACTTAGCCTTTGCTGTTGTAGGCTTGGCCTTTATGGTTCCCGTTTTCTTCGCATCCTTAGCCTTTTCTTTGTCAGCCTTCTTTTTCTCAACATTTTTTTTGGCTGCTGCGGATTTTGATAGCTTTTTATCAGCGGCACCCGCTGCTTTCTTCGTGGTAGACGTACTACTCTTCCTTTTAGTTGCTGCTGCCGCCGAAGCATTTACCTTCTTGGTTTTCTTCTCGACAGCGGAGGCCTTTGGCTTGGCATCCTTGTTAGCGGTTGCAGATAGTTTAAACGAACCAGAGGCACCCTTGCCCTTTGTTTGGATCAGCTTTCCATTCGCAACTGCATTCTTAAGGTACTTTTTAATGAACGGGGCTAGCTTCTGGGCATCGCACTTGTATGTAGCACCGATATATTTTTTAATTGCCAGAAGGGATGAGCCACCACGTTCCTTCAAATTTTTAATCGATGCATCTACCATTTGCTGAGTTGGTGGGTGCGATGGCGGAGCTGCTGTTGACTTCTTTGATTTTGGTGTGGCTGCTGCCTTTTTAGTAGACACCTTTTTCTCGCCTGAGGCTGCTTGGGCAATCACAGGAGATGCGGACGTTGCAACTGCAGAATCAGACATTTCGTGCGCTTTACTTTACTTTTGTGAACTGAAAACACTATTTTGGTGTGAAAACAGAAATATACCAGGTCACCCGTTTGAGTGAGAATCGAGGAGGAGGGCTAAACGAGAATGTTTTTGGTATTGAACGTTTGTTACTCAATGCGTCGTCATTACATACTTGTTAAATGGTCGTTTACAAAAGTATATACTTGGAAATCGTTCTTAATGTAAATTGGAATGGTTTGTTTAATATTCAAACAATACAATATAAATTATTTAGTGTATTTAACATGATTTTATGATATTTAATTGCCTGTCAAAGTTCAACTTTGAGTCTTGGCAAAAAGGTTATCGAGCAAAAAACACGATTATTATTAAAAATATAATGAAACTTGAAATATTTTTCATCTAAATACAATATTTAAACAATTCTTTAATCAAATTCAACTATTAATTTAAATATATCTTAAGTCTACTACTTTAAATATCTATTTAACATAACCCTTAGCTGTTAGAAACATGCCTGTTTACAATGAAATCAATATAAAAACGCTTCAGACAAATCTTATTTTGTCTTTAACAGTTAATATAAATTTAAAAAATTTAATATAAAAAAAAGGAAATGGAAGATTATTCCACTTAGTAACACAAATTGTTATTATACTTGAAATTTAATTAATAATTTAATAATTTAATTTAATTTAATTAATAAAATATCATGCGAAATCCATATGACATTTCTGTGTACCGAAACATTCATCAGACTCTTAGTTGATTTATTTCAGAAATTATCTATTGGAGCACAATTGATTGATGAAAAATGACGTTTATTTACGGTGATGAGGCCCAAACCAAATGCTGTATACTGCTATTCAGAAAATCATCTATACATATACATATATGAAATATAATGAAGGAATTTTCGGTTAAACCCAAAATATGTATGTGGGTTTACCGTTAAGATACATTGAGATAAATCCAATATTGTAATGCCCTTTTTGCTTATTGTCACATTGTATAATAAGATGATTTATTTGGCGACCTATCAATTTCATAATTGTTTCTTTGGCTGGCTCGAGGTCCGAGGTTTTTTTATTCCAGACAATATGAAAATACAATTTTGTTTTAAATTTTTACTTATTGATAAATAATTTAATATATATTTAATATATTGATAAGAAAATAAGAATCTCCTTGTTTAAAATATTTTGTGGTCCTGAAAAGGACGAATTTTTTTATATTTATATATTAGAGACGAGGTAGACTTAATGAAAACTCTTTGTTTATTTGATGCGTTTATTACGGTTTGGAATGGCGGGTAAAATGTTTGATAAATAAGTTTGTTTTTCGGTTCCAAAATCCTCATCGCAGAGCACTAACACAACTGCTTCCCAACATTTGGTTCTTTATTTGATGACCATCAAACAATTTTTAAATAGACATGGGGTTTAACATAATGTGGATAGATTTATTAACCGATGGTTTAGAATAAAAGTTAAAAAAGAGTGTGGGTTGATTTATTTACCGCTGGCTTAGAATAAAAGTATTATATTTCGATGTTTAGAAAGTAAACTAATATTTACCTCTGGCCTAGAATAAAATTAATATATTTCGATGTTTAGAAAGTAAACTTATATATATAGTGTCAAATTGACACAGCTTGAAGATCTAATTGCAGTATCGAGCCGACAAGAGCTTCTGAATAAAATTACATATTAACTGCCTATCGGTATTGTATTTTGTTCAACATATTCGAATGCAATACACACATTCATTTGAATATTTTTGTATTATAGTATTATTAGAAATAAAATCAATATGTATTATTAAAGTGCTACCTGGTAAAAAAATAAAAACTTAAACTGATATTGAATCAGATGACATACACACGTATTCACACTATACACATGTGTTGTGTCTGTGTCTATAAATCTGATTACTTTTTTCGCTTGGTTTTAGATCCCCGCAATACGAAATTTATGAAATCCATATAGTTATCCATTAGAATGTCAAATATTATTTTGAAATATACATATAAGATATAAGATAAGATATATAAGATAGCCTTTATTAAATTTTTCTTAAAATTTCGATGGGTAAAAGCTATGCACTTTAATCATAGACATCGAAGTTGTTGATTGGCTTAGTTATTTAAAGTCCCTGATGGTTGACAAGGTGGATCCCCAGCTGTAGGATTGCTTGAAAACACTGCAAAGGATAAGATTGGAAATTTAAATTGGACTTTTCCTAAAAATGAATTTACTCACTTTTCGCGTAGATATTGTAGCACTTCCTGCTCGGTGGAGCTCAAGCCGTTGAAGACCGCATCGAGGTTAATCTGCAGTAGGCGACGATTGGGTATGCCGATCAAAAAGGTTGCAGCGCCCTCCAGCTGCATGGAGTAATACATGGCTAGTTTACCTAGCTCCACGCCACGTTGCTTGCAGATCTCGGCAGCGTGTCGACCTATCGACTGAAGCTCTTCGCTGCCGGGATGCCAAGTTTGTGGACCGGCATTGGAGAGCAAGCCCAGTGCATGGGCGGCGGCACATATGACGCCCACATTTAGCTCCCGGAAAGCTTTCATGTGACGCAACAGTGTATTGTCGAGGAGAGTATATCGAGCATAGGATAGTACAATATTAACGCGACCTTTTGCACGTTCCGCGCAATCCTTTAGAACGTCGACATCATAGCCGGTGATTCCAATAAATCGCGCCTTGCCGGCTTTTACATACTCTTCAAGCACTGGAATCGTCTCCTTAAGCACCATGTCCAGGCTGGGTGCCGCATCCACGTCATGCACCTGCAACACGTCTACATAATCTAAACCCAGCAGACCCAAGCTCTTCTTGACGCTTTCTCTGGTTTTTGCTGCCGTAAAATTGAACATGCGATTGGGGTCTAGTTCATAGCGTCCCACCTTAGTGGCTATGTAATACGCCTCCCTGGGCACATCCATGAGTGCCTTTCCGAGTACCTGTTCCGACTGCCCTTGACCGTAAAATGGTGCGGTATCGATATAGTTGATGCCTGACTTAATGGCCTCCTGCACTGTTCTGATACCCTCTTCTTCGTCAAAGTTTTTGTCGAAGAGCGCGCTTAAGGTGGCGCCACCTAATGCAATGGTGGATACTCTTAAATTGGTGCCACCAAATTTGCGATATTCCATGCGACGGACCAACTCCTCATTGTGAAAGCCCTTCACGAAGGTGGCTGGAAGTGTTCCCGACATCACAAAAGACTTGGTTTGATTGCGCGATCAACTAAAATGTCTGGAATATTTATACACACGTTTAAATGAAATTATCTCTCTCACACACATATATGCGTTTGCTTGTATGTGTATGTGTATATTCGTGTGAGAGAGAGAATTTCATGTATATACATATATATATATATATATATATCACCGAGTGACCTTTAGCTAAACTGAACCTTAATATTATTAATGCGAGTAAGTTATGCTCTTATCGCGTCTCAAAGCTTTGTTTTATTGAGTTCCCTTTTTATACATGTATATACAAACATACGTAATTGTGCTCAATAATTTTAATCTTGGTTAAGGTTAACAGGCATGTATAATAAAGTAGAAATTCTCTCCTATCAGTAAGTATGCTGTATCTTTTACCATGTCGTTTTTCTATCGGCTTCTAATCTTCCAAGGGAAATGTTTATCGATTCCTTTACGATATAGACAAATATTTCTTGCATTAATTGCTTGCCACTTATTGTTTACGCCAAAGTAAATGCTATTGTACCGTTAAGTTATCACTTACAGGTTTAATCAGTGACACAGTTTATTAGTTCAATTATCATCTGTTCCAGGAATGTAAAGAAATATCGATGCATCGACCATCGATGATTTTTTAGCTCAATGCTTCCCGATTGTTGCCTCTGCATCGTCGTTGCATCGATATTTCAAAATACATATCGGACTTTTTCTTTTGCTACATGGTCACATTGGTTTGTAAATGACCAATTCTGTTAAAAAGGTTGCTTTGTTATTTTTTTTTTTTTTAAATTTATGCATATATTCTTTGCTTAATGTAAATTTCAATCATTGACGAATCTTTATAAAATAATATAAATATATATGTATATGTAGTAGACAAAGAAGTAGATACACACATAGAGACATTTAATAATATCGCCGCCCAAAAAACCGCTGATCTTTAAAAGAATACATCAAAATCACCATTGGGCTGATAGCTAGGCGGAAACTGTGGTCGATGGTGCTGCTGCTGTGGCTTGGGCACAATGATGTCATTAATCTCATGCAGGATTCCATTGGTAGCTACCACATCACATTTTGTAACTCCGGCGTTTTCGATTTTGGGTCGGCGATCACGTGTTATGCGCAGGTGTTGACCCGAAATGGATTCGATTGAGCGTACAAATGGCCAATTGGTCGGTATAATACCAGCGCAGCAGACGACGTCGTTAACAATATGCGTCTTGACCTGCGCCTCGAGATCGGGCTGGCTCTGCGTAGCCTTGGACTCGATGGATTCGCTGAACTCCTCAAATACATCATTCTTGGGCACCAGAAGTGTAAAGCTATCTGATTCATTTGATAACAAATGGGTTAAGTTGGCCTTGATCACCAGTTCTAGGAATTTGCTGTAGTTGGGATTGGCCTCCAGTGCTTTGAGCAGATTCTAAGCGGGAGAGCAAAACAAATAGAAAGATAATTCAAAGTGCGAAGCAGCGTTTAATATGAATCTTACATTCTTGGGTGCTGTCAAAGGGCGATCCAGTTGATGCAGCACAGAGCCGCAACTCTCGTCATCGAAGTGCACCAGGCGGGCACAGTTTACCGTAGCTCTGTTCATTACGTCTGAGAAGAGCGCATGCGTGGAGTACAGATTTAGGCGAACATTTTTGCCCGCTATTGTAGGCAACGAGCTCTCCGATAGATCACAGGTCTTAATCATTGGTTTGACCACATGGTAGTTGAGGAACTCCAATAAATCTTTGTTGTTTTTCAACGCCTCTGGTTTTTCTGCCAACAGACGTGCCCATTCTGAATTTTGCAATGCCTTGTCTGTGGGTGCAAAGATTGTAACATTGTCCAAATCATCGAATTGGTCATCGAAGCCAGAGGCCTCCAGCAGGCGCTTGAAGATAGTTAGGTTCTTTTGCGACATCAGAGTGGTCATTGGCAGAGCAGATTCGGTGGGCAGAATGGTGTCAATCACATGGAGTACTCCATTGGTGCCCATGATATCAGCGTCCAGAATTTTAGCGGCGTTATTTATGTAGATAACAGAGTCCTCTGTTTGATTCTGGGCACTTCGTGTGCGGTTAAGCAGAAGTGGTTCACCTAGTAGATTGTACGCTGTCGTCTTAGCACCTGGCAGAGTGGCCAATGAGCAGAAGGTTAGGTCCAGCATGTGGTTCTTCAGTATGTCTGCGAAGATGTATTTTAAGAACATGATAAGGTTTGAAAGGAAAGATAAATATACTATAGGTACCCTCTCCCCCTCTACCCGGCCATGCCTGGGAATATTATTCTTTATCTTTAAACTTTATACAACTATTTTTTTACCCATTTCTTCGATCTACTTTGAAACTCCATATTTACGCAGCGGAGCGGACTTTCCGCCATTCCATACATATTTGAAAATGAACTTAAAGACTGCAGTCAACAGTTATCTGTAAAATTAGTTTAACGCCGATCGGATGTTAGACAAAAAGTTTGATGTAACCATACTTTAAAAATTTTCTTTAACCCCTGGAAGTTACACACATAAATTAACTACAGTAAGATATCAGTCGGATCAACGTATATGTATATATATATATATACACAGTGACAGTTACAGTTACAGTTTGCAGATAAGCAAATCAATGGAAAGAAAGGTTTCAGCATATTTCGATTTTGGTCACTTACTAGAGGCGCAGCCACGTCCCTCCTTTAGGGCACGTCGCAAATGTGGCTCCAGCTTATCAAACGCTGAATCCGTGGGAACAAAGATAGTGACGGGCTTGTCAGCCTCCAGCAGAGCGCTGATGTTGGTTTTTTCCAGCACGGTACGCATGATAGACATATCAGCACGTTCACGTATGAGATCCATTACAGTTTTGGTCAAAGGCTTCAGCACACCACTCAGCGTGTGCACTAGAGCTTGTTCGGAGAGCTTGTCGTGCTTCTCAATGGGCACACAGTTGGCGGCATACCGATAGGGCTCCAGGCCCAAAGCTGGCGGCAACTGGTAACTGTTGATACGTATCCTCTGACCAGGAAGCTCAGTCTGCAGCAGCTTCTCATTGGGAAGATCCTCTAGTTGCGCATCGCCCTGTACCGAGTGGAGCTTGTAAATAGACGACTTTTGTGTGTGTTCCGCCCTGGCGTCATCCACGTTCTGAGTGATATTAAAATAATGAATTTAAGCAGACACTTTTTAGGTGCATTTTGTCACTTACGTTCTCTTGCTGATGCCGACCGCGGTACTCCTGAAAAGCGGTATCGTTGGGCACAAAAAGTGTAATTTTTTTGCCAGTGCCGCTGCCCAGCATATCACCCAGCTCGCCAGCACTCTTAGCGCTCTCAATGAACTGCTTAGCTCCCATATCCGCAGCAGTTGCTTCGATATCTTTGATCTCAATCTTCTCACAGGGTGTGGTAAAGTCTGCGTTGCGTGGACGTCCATAGCCGTGGCAGCATTGGCGTGTCAGCGTCACCGTTTTCTTCTTTCCATTTTGATTGACGCTGCGTACGAAGATAACAATTATTTATAATTCAAATGCAATACTAGCTTTCGTATTGAGTTGCCCTACTTACATCTTTGTGCAGACGTGCTTGTTGGGTTTTTCAGCACAGGAGTTAACGCTGAAATGGAATTGGCCAAAGAGTGGTGAACGGACCACGTTAGCAGCACCATCACGTTCCTCACCGAAGCTGTCCACAGTTTCACCATCAGCTTCCGCGTTTGCTCCTTCGTTTTCCTCCTTTTCGGTGCACACATTGGGTCTACGAGTAGACAAATTGGGAATGAATAAAAATGATTTTTCTTTGGTAATAAAAATTGTGTTGAAAAGGTGAGACAGAAATTACATAATCAAAACATATGAATATATCTACATACATATCTACATATTTTTATTATCATTATTAACAGTTAAAATTATAAGCTATCAATCGAAATGTTGATATGGCTTTGGGATGATATACCAATATTACAATATTTAATTAATGTAATATCGCTGTACTTTGCAAAAATTGGTATCCAAAAAATTCATCTTGAACAAGGTGTTAATCGAGTCATTTATTATTCTTGGCCCAGAGGAATTTTCTATCACTTGCTAATATCTTCGACAAATCGCCAACTTGCAAATCCAAAGTCAATGTACTCGCAATCAGTATCTATACATACAAATATACATTTATAGGTATATGAATACATACTTTACCAGTACTGTAAGACTCCAATAAACGCACCCTAAAGAGCACTTATTTATCTGTCCCTCAATGTGAGTGCTGATGAATTGTTTACTTTATGGATTCGCATATATATGTTTATTCTCATAGTTATATAGCGTACGTCTGTCTAAATGTATGATACTATATGCTCTATGGAATTAACAGCTTAAGAGTTTTGCATGCCGTCAATTTAATTATTTGAATGTGTGCGTAACAAAGCGGACCATTGTATGGGGCATAGTTTTCGAAATTTCTCGGTATATATGTATATATATATATATATATATATATATATATACCAAATAGGAAGCTTGTATATATATATATATATATATATATATATAAATATGCCTTTATATCGGGCCAATTTTTCAATTGTTGCGTCTGACTTTCGTTCTCGGTTCAACAAAAACAAATGCAACAAGTACACGACCAGTTTATTTCGCAATTTTGCTTGAATAACAATTTAGGAAAATGCAAACGACATCCATATCTATATTGAATGCATTACATATCTGTTTGCAAACACATTTATTCATTCACGTTGCATTTAATACATATATGATATTTAGCTGACTATTTTGCTTGAAAAGTGATTAAAAAAGAAATCGACGGTAAGCTTGAAGCCCAGTCATGCGATTTGCAAGATGAATTGCTTAAGTCTTTATTTGATGGAATAAATTAAAATTATTAAAGTAGAACATTATGCACGATGACCGTTTGTGACGTCAGTGAACAAAGAAGTTCCACCGGTTGGCCATAAGGCAAGCTACATTAGCAATTACATTATATTTAATAGCTCTAATGAACTTGACATTGTGCTCGGTTAATTACCAGATGCCAAGATCGTCGAAATCAACCATGTGCGGTGGTTAGGAAAAAACTGAATCCAGTGACCATACCAAATAGGAAGCTTGTATATAAGAATAGTGCGCTTTTAGAATGCGAGATTCGGAAGTAGACATGGAATGAGAACTTGGGTCTACCCAAATACGCGTTTCTGATTTTTAATGATATAGTCTTAGGAACGGTGCATATATTTGTAATTAAAATAATAAGAATGTGAAAAATATATCAAAAGAGAAGTTTAAGTATTTTGTATATCAACAAAAAAAAAAATTCGGAATAAAGAAACGGAATTCTAATTCTAATTAGATAAGAAAGCTTTTGAAATTGCTATCTGCAACAGTGGGAAATTTAGAGACTTTCGAATACCTTTCTGAAAATTAATTTTGAGATTGTTTTGCAGCATCCAAATTTTGGTACCGAATTCGATAAACTTCACATTCACTTTCAAATATGTTTGTGTAATATAGTTTGAGACGTGGGGTACAGGATAGTACGGTTACATTTTCCACGGGCGGAAAAATTGGTGTCCTTAACTCTAAAAACTAATATGATAATGTACTCACCCTTTCCACCAAGGCTCCTGAGCGTTACCAAATCCGAATCCACCAAAAGAATTGATGAACTCATTGCCAAAGAAGGGGAATGATTGCTGGAAGAACACAGCTGGGTTGGGCGAATTCACGTCCGTGGTGATGGCATCGACATCTATGGAAAAGATTGCAATTTTATAGAGGCTTGCCGTGTAATTACAGATTCTGTGGCTTACTGAAAGGCTTCTGTTCCAAGCCCGTGGCATGGGCCTGACTTGATACAGCTGCGGCGGCAGCTGCAGCATCCTGTCGTCCCTGCTGCTGCTGCTGCTCTAGTGGCACAAACTCAGTGTCACTGATGCCGTCATTGTCGAAGCTGCTACTGTAGAGTGGCAACGGTGGTGCATTAGCTAGGGAGTGGTGGCTGGCCAGCGGGGCTGGCGGGGGGGCTGCCCAAACACTGGCCACACGCTGTGACGACTGAGCATGCAGTGGTTCTAGCGGTGCTAGTGGTGCAAATGGTATGGACGCAAACATGGTGCGATGCAGCGGTAATGGGCGTGTTAAATGTTGCATAAAGCTGTTGAGGAGGGGCGGAGTGGGAATGATGTGTTTTAATGTTAAGTGTGTGTTCTGTTTTGTTGACTTGTGTTATGGTTGTGTTTATATTGTGTGTTGTATTTTGTGCCGTTTCATGCAAATTCCACACCAGAGCTTAACTATCCCAAGCGGAGCCCCACCATAATTCATATGCCTTCCATTGTTCCGCACATAAAAGAAACTCCGGTCTGCTCCGGCATTACCTCTATATATTATATAGTATACAACCCGATCGTGCCTATTGTTTAGCAATTGTTTTGCACAGCATTTCTGTGTGCCGCATACTAATTGTCTGCCTCCATTAAATCAGCAGCTAATATCATACAAATCAAATGAAAATTACTTTTTTTTCTAAACGACCAAACAAACCTGCAAAAATACAGAAAACATAATGCGCTGCACTCTGGAGTCATTAATTAAATAGGATTTATGCCTTTCGATTTTAGGGGAACGAAAATAAATTCAACACCAATAGACGAAATGTTTGTGTACAGTTTTTACTCATCTCAAACTCATTCACATGAGTCATTTGCACGTTTTGTGCAAACAAATGTTCACCCGCTTTCTATTGACAAAACAATAACGAATAATTTGTTAGCTGACTTTTCCTATTTACCACTATATATATTTCATATATAAATAACTTTGAGTGTCTGTAACATTTTCGGGATCTTGTTGATTGAGCTCATTATAAATGCGCGCCACGGAAGATAATTAAAAAAAAAAAATAAAAACAAAACATTATAAGAGCTGACAAAAATAAAATTAAAATAAACAAATGTATATATAAACAATATGCTCGAAATGGCGAACGTAACAATTTTTATAATGGCCACGCTCGGTTAACTGCGAGTTACTTCGGACTTCTGAAAATGATATTATTTTTGTTTTTTACGGCATCTTTATCAGGTATGAGTCATGACTCGTTTCTTGAACAAGGGCTCAAAAAACGACGTACTGATTTATGTACGCTCCACAAGGTTTAAGCAGAAGTTTTCTTTTGAATGTACATTTTATATTTATGTATGGACATTTGTCGAGTACATATAAGTCGACCATATATCATGAATTTCGAACTTAAATTGCATCCGCTGGTGGTAAGCAGTTGTCCTTAAGATATTTGATAATATTGGGGCAAACTCATTCCCATTAGAAATATGTAAATATAGTTTGGTGTAAAAAATTGTCAAAGCAAGTTCGGTATGAGTAAATTAGACAATTTTAAAAACGTGACTCACTGATTTGCAATTAAATTAGGAAATAAAAATATATTCGAGCCGCTTTCGCTTGGCCAATGTCGTTTTTGTTGCGAAATGATGGGTTCTCGGCGAGATTCGATTTGTTACGTTAAAAGACTTTAAGCGATTTGGAAAGTTTTGTTAATTTAGTCATGAAACTTCTGGAAGATTCGTTCGTTAAATGAAGTGTATACCGAGTGCATAACATTAAAAATTGTAAATTATGAGCTGTGAACAAAATCAGAATCGCGTAAATTAAATAAAACTGCCGCCTCGACTAGCAAGGCGAATGTTATTGGCCATAGTCGTTGATCAACGGACTGGTCCCAATTGTTCCACTGTTATTTGATTAAAACGCCACCATAAAACAGAACAGAACGTAGAACTAAACGAGTTACACAGAGGTGAGCAGGGGCAGGTTTCTGGTTGACCCAGTTTTTGGTTTAGAAAAGTGGCGACAGGGCATTAAATTGGGCCGTTGCCTGGTCCAAAATTGCATCTAATGAGGTGTCAAATGTTAATTCACTTCATCTCAAACCATTTTCGTGTGCACCCTAATATTTTTCATCAAAAATTGTGTCGAAAAGAGTGGCGACTGCTCAAGTTGGTAAACAACTAAATAGTTTAGGGGCCCAAAGCTGGTTTTAAAGGTTGTTCATTGTAGTCAGCCATGTGTGAAAGGCCCAGACATGTAAACAACGACCCGCAGATATAACAATCATCTGTCAAATACCGTCAGTGCTTTTGCATCTGCATCTCTCGCGGATGCCCTAAAGTCGATGACCCACTTTGCATAGACATTGTTCTCAACGCAGTTAGTGTTGTTTTTTGCGCAATGCCTTTCGTAAAAACTTGAACTGCAGGGTTAAGTGATCTTTGCGGCGTTTTTGTGTTGCGAGTTTCGATTGCACTTCTCTGCGCATATCGCCTTCTGCCTGATGCAATTAACTTATAATTCAACAATCTCTTGTCAGCCAGTCCGATTGGGAAAGCAGAGAAATTTAAGAATTACCATCTACCGATTAACATACGTTTTTAAGGCGTACAGGGTATGCTTATAGACCAATACGTCTGGTGGGGAAGTATTACTAAGGTGATTTTAATTGTTTCCAGTTTTACCGATAAATTGAGGCCAAAGCTTGACTTTCTTTTTGGGCTTTGGTCAATATTTTGTATTCTTTTGAAGTAGATTTATTTCTTCGTTTCAGTTTATTTGCAATATTTTACGAGTCAAGTCAACGTTGTAAATGGTGAAATTTCACCAAGTAAGCAAATAAGGTGCTGACAAAAATGTCATAAATAACTAAACTCGCAATTAGGTTGGCTTTTATGATTTGTCAATAAAAACAAAACGATACAAAATTAAAATTGTCGGGTCAATATTTAAACTGAACGGCATCTGGTTGGGGCGATAAGTGAGATTGTCGTTATTTATTTAGGAAGAGGTTTTAGGAAGAGGTTGCTAAATGCTGGGAATGTACACTGAGAATTTGAATAGTTCACCTGAAAGAGCTTGATGAAGAGTCTACGTCTTCAACACTGGAAGATGAACGGGAATATTCACTGTAAATAAGGCATGCATTAGCATGGGTCGGGCAAGTTACTTAGCAACAGACTAAGAACATACATTAGAAGCATAGAATTGTTATTGCCTAGATTGAGAGTGTGAGTTACATTTTATGTGATAAATAAGTAAACACATTTTATATAATATTGTTTTGAAATAATACAGTGTTAGAAAACAGTTAATGGTAAATGTAAAGATTTCAGATATGAATTTCCCTAAAACACCGGACTACGAGGTTTAAACACAATTTCTCATATTTATTTGTGTTCTAACGAGTATGCTATCAAATGAAATTAATATTTAACAAGAAGCCCATTGACTAGAAAACTACTTAAGCAATGTGCATGAGCTACGGAATGCAAAACACAAAAACCTCACAATCATAAATAAAATGTACAATGTTGTTTACTTACTCGCTGTAAAATGGTACCGCTTGCACGGAGCAGAGTAGAAGCAGGCATGCCCACTGTCTTAGCATCTTGGGGTTGTCAATATCACAATAATTGTCTTAAATCAAGTAGACACTAAAAGCTAAAAAACAAGCAAAAAGACTGTAAAATTAATAAACGCACGAAATTTCACTGATTCAAACAGCTGTGACTGGAATCGGAACGGGGACGAAATCCAAACTGAAAATACTGGTTTTCCACGCCAAAGTGCACTCGAATAGGTTGAAGAAAATGTAGGTGAATGTGGACAATTATGTGAAAATAAAAGAAGAAATTTTTCCACTGTCTTTAATCACTAATTACAACGGCAATAGTTTTATTTAGAGTATTACAAAATTGACACACAATTAACATTTTCATCCAAGCAAGTCGCATTTTGCTTGTACTTGTGTACAGAAACTGTCTTTGAATCCTCTTCACTCACATGCACAGGCAACCACACACATACACACTCTCACGAATACTAACAATTTACTGTAGCCGACGATGTTGACGTTTTGAGCGGCAGTCGAAAAGTAACTGGCTTAGAACGCACTCCGTCTGCTTTTTATAAACTGTGATCGCTGTCACAGCTCTGAGAGCGATGTTTCGATGGCTGCCGGCTAGAGCTTTCGCTCTCACTAGCTTTTGTTAGTGGAACAGACAGAGACAGAGAGAGAGAGAGACAGAGAGAGATAGAGAGAGAGAGAGAGAGAGAGAGAGAGAGAGAGAGAGAGAGAGAGAGAGAGGGAGAGACACCATCAAATGCAAAATTCGTAAAATATTGTGAAAGTGCGCGGCAGATCACTGATAATTGTTTACACTGTACAAAACATAGTGTCTTTCTCTTGTTAAGGTTTAGATTGAAGAAATTTCTGATTTGCTCGATATTACTCTTGGTTGCAATCCCAGTTACAAGGTTAAATGTTATGGAGTTTCTCGGAATTAAATCTAATGGAGGAATACAGCACTACCTGACTGTCATGGGTATTCTATTCAAATGAGTAGTGGTGTTCGGTTATTCCGGAACAATAACGCTTACACTCATCTACGCTGAGTTGCCTTATTAAAAGTCTGTTCATATAGTATTTTTTGTATTTGTATATGTACACATTTAGGTACTTGTCTTACAAGAACATATGCCTGAAGGCTGTTATTATTTTTCGATTACCAATTCTTAGAAAACTGACTTGGTTGTTTGATGTTTTAGTTTTATTTGAATTCATTGTACCAATAAATGAGTAAAAAGGGTACAACAAGATTGTGTTCCGCGCGGAATCTCAGCTCTTGTTAAATATAAATAGTTTGTTTGCTCGTCGACGTTACATAGGTAAGCCGATTAAAAAATATTTTTCATCGTTTATGGTTTTTTTTAAAGTTCTTGTAGTAGATCTCTGTATTTGGTATCACCTATTCGAGCATCAGAGAGAACTTACTTGTTTGTTACTTATGGACTTGTCCCATCTTTGTGTTTTGTTTGTTAGTCATTGCTGATAACTCAGTGTTTCACATATTAAGATTTGACCTTGTTCAGATTTCGATGGGGCTTGTCGGCAGCTGATCCAAAATATTTTTAAATTTGTGCTTGAATTGCAAAGATTATGATGTACACAAGATTTTTCTAAAATTTAAATTATTTCATTTCATTTTCATTAAAACAAAATTCCAACTTATGGAATTTATCAATTATGATTATAATTGTTAATGATAAGTAGTTTTTATTTATGTACCAATATTTACAATAATCAATTGAACATTTGCGCTATATATGTAGGTATATATATATACTTTAAGTTTATTTTGTTATCGTTTAAACGTTGTAATAATTAATTGCAAATAAATTAACATGTCGCTTTCACTTACATACGTAGCTTTGTCTGTGTGTGGAATTCTGAAAAATCTATATTAGGTACATGAAGTACTTATTCAAGTTTAATATGGATTAATTTGTTTACAAGTAGATATGCGAATGATTTATTTCATGTACCACATGGGGCTAAAATGCGATTTTAATTAGATTTACATCGCCTTACGTTTCGTTAATTTTACATTAAAACGAAATAGACTAAATCTTTTCTGTGTGTGTGGGTTGTGTGTGTGTGCTTATGTTTTAAATAATCTCCAGCCCAGTGATTATTTATAACATTTGCTTTGCCTAGTTAAAAAGGAACTTCCGTGTGTCATTCGTCAAAACTAAATGAGGAAAGCGCTCGCCAATCTGTGCCACCAGTTCCGCTTACTCTGCAAGCGCTGCAACAGACAGAGGCTTATGAATAGTACGATTGTTAAGTTCTACAGTTTACTTTTCTACTTACCGGGACGTTTACCCCTCATGCCAAGGAAGCCGCTTGGCGCCCTTTTGCCGCCAATTAGATAGACCCATGGCCGCATTGCATTCGGTTCTAGGCCGGCTTCATCCTCTACATTGCTTTTCTTGCCACGCACAGCTACAAATTTACTGTTAAAGTCCGCGTAACGTTGCTTCTTTCCACGCACATCATATGCCTTTTTAAAGATTTTGCGCCACAACTGGGCATGGTTAGTTCCAAAAAAGTTATCATACACATTAATGAAGAGTTTCAGATAAGTGCGTGACAAAATATATTCTTTTATAAGTTAGTGAATAAAGAAGCGGCAAAAATATTCAGAATATGATAAACACAAATAAATCGATTTTTTTCAATATTTTGCTTGTAAAAATATAGTTTACTAAAATGTTAAATTATCTTTATCATTTTTGATTAAACTTTATTGCACGCAAGAGATTTCGGGCTAACACACATTATTTGTCGCCAAGTATTTTTGTCTCGCGCTTATCTGTAGTTGTACGTAATTAGCTTACCTCTGACAAAGCCGCCCGCTTGTAATGTTGATGTGAGACATCCTTTTTACCTCGCACGCCTACAAACGAGTTGACAGGTGCTCTTTTTGCAAGCAGCTCCATTGCATCTTCCCCATTCTCAACAGCATCGTACTCAGCTATCGATGGACGCTTGCCCCGCATACCAGTAAATCCGGTAGGCGCACGCTTCGCCACATCATTACCATCAGTTGCAAGATGCTCAAGGAAATCCTGAAGCAGATTCTCCCGCAGTCTGTCCTCCTCCATCTGCTGCAGTAAATCATGCAGGCGGTTGTTATTTGGGGTAAATTTCTTACCGCGCAAGCCAACAAAGGCTAATGGAGCTTTCTTTAGTCTACGCATGTTTTCATTGTAAAAGTTGCCCGCATCATCTTCGGTGTAGTCCAAGGGATCGGGGCCTAACCAATTGTCATCTGCCGATGGCTCCTGTTCCTTTTTACCTCTCATGCCAATAAAGCTTAAATTAGGGGCTCGCTTTACCATATTTCGTGGTTGTGGCTCTGCTCCAGGCGCTGAAGTGCTAAAGGTGCTAGCGTCAACGTCCTCCGCCTCGGCTTCAACATCGCTGCTTGCAACTACGGCAGCTGTTAGTAACAGCACCACTAACAGTTGCTGATTAAGCATGGTAAAGAATTTCTGTTGCGTGCTTTTAGGCAGGTGCTACAAAATAAACGACCGCCAGATGGCGCATAAGTTTTGAAAAATATTATAGAATGCCCATAAAACGCAAGTGTGTACTCTAGTCGGGACTGCCCGACTAGCAGATATTCCCCACCTTTGCCAAGTCGCTGTCACAGACATTCTAACTTCCTTCGGTAGATAAGAACATTGACAAAAAGACTTCACACACACAATCTAAAACATAATACCGACGGCTTTTTTAAAATATGTATCAAAACTGGATATTAATTGTGCCCAAATTATATTTGCCCGTACCCCGCACGTAGTTACTATTAATAATATAAAATAATAACAATAAATTAAAAGAGGAGGTGTAAAAAAAGAATGACATTATATACTTTGCTTATGAAACACGTTGAGCTGCACCTTCTTGACCTTGTTTTGTTGGTGCTCGTACGTTTCAAGTAGGTTTCATATAAATGTTAGACTGGAATGCATCTTTATTGTCACAGCTACAGCTCAATTGCAATTGGTACAAAAAGTCAACTGCTGTTGTTACAATTTATAGTCGCATAAGCAAATATTTGCAGATCGCACAAGCGGAGCCACCTTGGGGCTGAAATGGGTTGCCTCTGCTCCAGTGCATCTATTGCTTGTCATTGATTATGCTCAAAAGTTGTCATCGCTCTCCCTCTCGTTAAGTAAAATTGCCATGCAAATGCGCTGGCAATGTCTGAGGCGCACTCTCGATAAGAAGGCTATGCTTATCCAGCAGCCAGCATGGCAACTGGTGGTAGACCAGCAAGAAAAAATAAAGGATCGACTACAAGATGCCTTTTTATACATAACTGAACATGATTTAATAGTGTAAATACCGAGTATATTCATTATTCAATATATACAAATTAAAATTGTTATCACCTTAATTTGCAATAAAATTATTCTTTAATGCAATCAAATTAAATTTATTCTCACACATCGATTTGACAATTGACACTCTCTTTGTTGATGGAATATGCCCTTTTAGAGCTATCAATAAGGGTATGATAGCACTAACGATGCGCGCACAGGAAGCGGTAGACATGTAATTCAATTGATTGCCACTGGCGGCGAAAAGAAATGCCAAGCCAAGGACCAGGCGACAAGTGGCAATTGAATTGAACGCAAAAATGCATTTGAATTGAATTTGTGTTAAATTTGTGGCAAACAACAACGGGCCTAGCTTAGCGCGTTTGACGTCTGTGGATGGCTTTGATTTTGTTGGCTCTAAGTTTAAGTGCCAAGTGCTGAAAGTTTTTAAATACTAAACATAATAGAGGTGGCGATGGAAAATGTCAAAGTATCTGGCGGGTCGCACAGGCGGAGGGTCAACTACTATTTCTAAGCCTAAAGTTTCTGGCGCAAAATTAGTAGGCAGCAAAGTGTAGCTTCCTGTTTTTGAGGCGCCGCCCCTCAAGGCTCTTCGTCAAGCCATGAAAGTGACAACAGGCAGTAGTCGAACAATGGCTTAGAAACAGGGCCAGTACACAGTCCTCACATGTGCCGCCCACAAAACATATGCATAATGTGGGTGGCCTTAAGCTAATCTGTTAACATGTAAGTGGGTGTAGCGTGTGTGCCTGCTTGCCTAATTGTCTATGTATGTGTAGATTTGTGTTTGCTTTGTGCAGTCCCAGCGGACACTTTAAACTGCCAAAAGGCCAACGGTCTAACGTTCGTGTGAGCATTAAAGAAACGAAAGGCGTCGCAGTGCAAGATTTACATTTTTGCCAAAAGAGCGCCCAGAACGTGCCACAGATATTTTTGTGTACATGTGTTCATTTGTGTATCTGTGCGGGCAATAAAGGCCCATTAGCTCAGATGTCGACACACTATAACAACAATAAAAGGAGCACGCGTACGAAATAAATAATAGAACAATACGGAATAGAAAATTCATTTTTTGATCAATTGGTCGCTCCATTTTCAGTTTGCCTGCGGCTGTATCTCGTCATCGCCCTTTTGGCATATCTCGCGCAGCTCCAGCAAAAACAACAAACCAGGGGATGGGGTCAAAAAACGTGTTTTTGGCTACAGTTAATGCATAGAATATGAAGTCTACCCATACCTCTTTTTAAAGCCCCTGCAGCTGTAGCCCAATTCAAATCATGCTTCACATTCATATAAGCGAGAGTTGTACATTTTAGCCATTGGTCGCATTCACCAACAGGAGGAACAAACGTTGAACGAAAGGAGCCTATTAACCAACATATGGGCCTTTGACATTCAAAGGATTGTTTTTGTAGCGTATTTTCCATATACAGGCAGCTATACTTTAAACAAACATTTGATTATTATTTCTGCTGCATAACATTAGATTGCTTATGTTATTGTAATTTGTTTACCGCTTCTCATTTTTTGAAGCATGTTTGGAATAAAGATTTTGATTAAGATTATGGATGACATATGATGCTGGAAGCTTCAAATACAGAAATTTATTTAATTAAGATTATAATGAATTACTACAAAATGCAACATTAAAAACATAGGTGCTAATAAATACTGAAACACATTTTATTAAAATTTAAGTTCACTCTTTTAGGGGATCCTTAACAAATACACTTTTTTAAAAATGTTTGGTAGATCAAATTGAGCGAATAAAATCCAGAGCTTGAGATTCAAACCAAAAGCTGAACAACCGAAAATACTTTTTTTTGATTGTTTTCAGGTTCCTGGACATTTCAATATGTACAAATACGTGAATACATGATTAGTCAAGAGTTAAGAATAATCAAAAATGACAAGATTAATTTATACCACAAAATTGTGTTATTTTAATTGCTCAAGATGTGTTTTAATCGAGCTAGTTATAAAAGTTCTTCCCCACATGTGAAAAGTGCTGCATATGCACATATGCTAACATTAAGCAAACATAAATGATTCAAGAATCGTTCTCGCCGCATGCTTAGATGCACTTATCAACAGTTCGTAGCTGGCGATCGTTCAGTTTCAGTTTAGCTTTGAAGCGAGACGCACGGCTTGCTCCAGCAGTGAATTAACTAAATGAAACGTGCACAGTGTTCATAAGAAAAAATTACATATTTACAAATGTACATACGGATCAATAGCCCTTAGCTGTGAATACATACTTATCCTAGACGGATCAGCAGATAAAGCAGATCCACGCTGAGTACCAGGTGAGCCTCGAAAATGTGACAAAGAAGCAGAAGCAAAGAAGCAAATACTGCTATCTCCATGAAACTCACAGTCGAAGCCTGCTGACCTGCTGAATGAGATTATCGCGTACTGCTTAGCAAATGCTTTTCATAGAATAAATAAAAACAATGGGCTAGTCTTAAACAAAACAACTTTCTCATCAGGTAGCTCTCAGGGAACATCGGCATGGGCTTGGGCTCGTACTTGGGCTCAGGCATGCAAAATAATTGAATTGGGTCAAATGTTTAAAATGCCTGTCTCATGTTGTGCGATTGGCTGGCGCTGAATAACATTAAAGATATGCCACAGATTTCGTTGTTCTTGCCTATATAAATTACATTTTACGAATTCCGTTTTGAATACGGGTATATAATGTACAGATGTACATATATATGGGCACGTGAGTATGTACGAGTGAATAAATGCATATATGGACAAATCGTTTTAGTGATTGCCTTAATTTTGGCAGGTCTGCAGCACTCATCCAAGTTCAGGGCCGGGAATTCACACATCATTTAATTCACTTTCAATTAATAACACGCACTACATTAGCTTTTATACATTATAGCAGGTTTTATTTTTTGTATACCCTGAACTTATTAAAAGTAAGTAAAAAGGGTATTATGTATTTGTGCATATGCATGTAACAGGCAGAAGAAGGCATCTCCGTCCCCATAAGGTATATATTTTTTTGATCAGCATCAATAAGCCAGTCGATTTAGCCATGTTCGTCTGTCCGTCTTATGATATTTTAGGTGTAGGTCCTCTTCGTGCCCATGCAGTACGAGTTTTTTACGATAATCGATAAACGTTTTTTTTTTTTTTTTAAATCTCTTAGATTAGTCACCAAATTTGACAATGAATATAAATATATATATTTACAAATATTATAAAGCACAACAAGATCTACTGTTTCATCAAGCTCGGTCAAGAAACACAGAAGGCATTAAAGTAAACGTGTGCTAAGATTGGCACGTGTTTGCGGCATCTAGCGGAACTTGGAAGAATTTGTTTAAACATGCAACATATACGTTTAATCATGTGCGTCTTTATGAAATTCTAACAATTGTATTGTATTTGTTTCTGTGTGTATGTGCTGATATTTTATTACGTGTTTTTGTTTCATTCAAATTAGATTGTTTGAGTGGCGGTTTAGTAGACGCGGTGGAAAGTAGTGTTGTCTGTTACGGGTTATTTTTATTGATGCTGGAGCAATTGAGGTTGTTAAGGGGGACTGCATCGGGAACTCCCGACTGAAGCTTTTTGTTTTAATTATAACAGTATTTTATATATTTTTGTACAAATCATCATAATATATTGGAACATGGGATTTACAAAAGTTAATTGAAATACCATTAAAGTGACTGGGGATCAATAGGTTTCTGGTAAATTACTTCTGGGGTAGGCACAAAGCTGTTTTGTTGAAGCCAAATAGTCAATTATTTGAATTACCAACGAGATTAGGCAGTCCGTGTGTTACATTCACATAGAAAATTTTACATTTCCTACTTCTGTTTGTGCTTAGCTAATGAAGCCCGATGTTCCTGAATTATATTGAAATACAATCAAACCACCCTTTATAGTCACCGGTTTCGAATAGAAACCTCGAGAGAATTTTTATGAATTATCTTAAGATATGTAAATTATGAGGTAGATCACACACATACAATCTTGCTTTAAGTGGGGAATATGTCACCACACTATAAAAACTACTTAGTTTGGAAAGTAGCAGAGCTTCGATCATCGACATTTCGACATTCATTCGACATTTCATTATAATTATGAACAGCTGCGTTCTGAAGAGCAAATAGATAGATAAAATCAAGTAAGAGAGCTCTATTCGAGAGTGACCGACTAACAAATACCCTACACCGTTTATATATTTACATTTTGCGAGAAATTCCATGGCATAAAACGTGAAAGAATTGCTCAAAAATTCGACTTAAAAACGCAAGTCTTAAGGTTAGGTATAAGTTTTGATCTAATGCAGGACATGAGTAGATAGAATCGGCTATTGATGCTGACCAAGAATATATGTATATACTTTATAAGGTGGGATAAGCTTACTTCTGCACAAAACCATTATACCCTTTTTATATATTTTTAATGAGTTTAGGGTATACAAATGTGAAATATGAGTGCGCATAAAATGATTGCTGAAAATGCTACAGTTTTGGCTAAAGTTATTGGCCAAACAAAAGCGCATTAATTTATAATTGATTTATTCACTGAGGCTCCGCATTAAATTAGTTGATTTTATAAGCAGAACAAACAGAGATTTGTTCAGTTAGCTGTCAGTCAATTAGTCGGTCAGTCAGTCGGTGAGGGAAGAGGCATCGCTGACGCACGCCAACAATGCCAACTAAATAAATGAACCATGAACTTGAATTGAGGCATCTCCACTTATCCAAGCTGCTTGCGGTGGCTGAGGATTTCACTGGGTTGTTAGTGAATATGTTATAGGAAGCTGGCCGATTTTGTTTCCGGCAGCAGCAAGATGAGTGTCGGGGCCTCGGATGTTATGATAAGGAAAATTCGCACAGGGGGAAGTAGCATTCGTTTCCTGTGAAGAAATCTAAGCCAATTGTTTGAATTACAGTAGTGGAATATGGAATAACCGCCAGGTATATTTATGCTTTGTAATTTAATCGGGCTGAGCAAATAGGTTAAAAGCACCAAACCATTTCACGTGATTAAATATTAAAGAAAGCTGTTACAGATCTGTCTATATACATAAAAGTGGAATTCATGTCATAATAAATTAATTAACTTTAGTATTCAAATAAAATTTGCTTATAAAAGGCTATTTATATTAATAACCCTGTTGATACTAACTACGGATAATTCAGTTGTCTCTAATTGATACTAATAGAACACAGATTTCAGCTGATATTTCCCTGAATTTTGTCTTAGTTAAAAATTGCTGAAAACTATAAACCAATCAATCTTTTTCCAACTTTAATGCATATCTAATGCATAATCAAGATTTGCTGGTCCAACTAATCGCCAAATAATCAACCTTCAATGCGGTATACAAATTGTAGCGAACAATGTTACCCCAATCGATAGTAAATTGGGGTATTTCTAGATAATTTAATACGTCTGTTGTATATTTAATTTTTCATGGCAGCATTTGCCTGGTCAGAATGAATTTGTACTATGGTTTGGTGATCATATTGGCTTTGGTTTCAATTACTGCAATCGGCAGCAGCAGTCGCACCTTCGTTGTGGACTATGAGAATGATCGGTTTCTGAAGGATGGACTGCCATTTCGCTTCATATCCGGCTCCTTTCATTATTTTCGGGCTCATCCTGATACCTGGTCGAGGCACTTGAGAACAATGCGTGCCGCTGGTCTCAATGCAGTAACTACGTAGGTTCAAACATGGCAACTGTCCTTCAGTTTGAATTTTAAATAAAACATATTTTTGTACATCCAAAAAGATACGTAGAATGGTCCCTACACAATCCCCGCGATGGCGTCTACGTTTGGAATGGCATTGCCGACTTGGAACGCTTTATACGTCTGGCTGTCGACGAGGACTTGTTGGTGATACTGCGTCCAGGTCCCTATATTTGTGCCGAGCGCGATATGGGCGGCTTTCCATACTGGCTTCTAAACAAGTTTCCTGGTATACAACTGCGCACAGCCGACATTAGTAGGTTCCCCGGCAAAATACCCTACTTAAAAGACTTAACCCAATTCCCTTTCTGCAGACTACCTTAGTGAGGTGCGCATATGGTATGCCCAGCTAATGACACGCATTGTGCCTTATCTTTATGGCAACGGTGGACCCATTATTATGGTTCAGGTCGAGAACGAGTATGGTTCGTACTTTGCTTGCGACGTAAATTATCGCAACTGGTTGCGCGACGAGACTCAGAGCCATGTTAAGGATAATGCCGTGCTGTTTACCAACGATGGACCCACTGTGCTGCGTTGCGGCAAGATTCAGAATGTTTTGGCTACGATGGACTTTGGAGCCACAACAAATCTCAAGGACATCTGGAGCAAACTGCGACGGTACGAACCTAAAGGTCCGCTAGTAAATGCCGAGTACTATCCCGGCTGGCTGACGCACTGGACAGAGCCTATGGCCAATGTGAGCACTGAGGCAATAACGGGAACATTCATGTAAGTGGTATTAAGACCTTTGGTAGGGGCAGTAAATGCGAATGCAGATCTTCTAATGATTGTGTTCTTAATTATAAATATATCATTAAGCAAATACCAACTATACATCAATAAATTTTTTAATTACCCATCTTTGACTGAAATATTCAAAAAACATTAATTGAAAATTATTACACTATACTTTCAGTGATATGCTAGAGAGTGGAGCCAGTGTCAATTTCTACATGTTTTATGGTGGTACTAATTTTGGTTTTACGGCGGGCGCCAATGACAACGGACCTGGTAACTATATAGCAGACATAACCAGCTATGATTACGACGCACCCATGACAGAAGCGGGTGATCCCACGCCAAAGTACATGGCACTACGCCACATTATTGGCAGGTATTTACCACTGCCGGATGTGCCAGTACCGCAGCCGGTGCCCAAACGGGCATACGGCATAGTCAGGCTGTTCAGCTGCTGTACGCTGTTTTCCAGAGAGGGTCGAGAAAAACTCAGTACGGGTGTTGTGCGCTCTGCAAAGCCAAAAACTTTTGAGGCCCTGAACCAATATTCTGGCCTGGTACTGTATGAATCTTGGTTGCCCGCGCAGTTTAAACGGGATCCGAGTGTGTTGCATGTGCGCGGCCTGGCGGACCGTGGCTACGTCTATGTAGACAATGAATTTGTAGGCATACTGGCGCGAGAGACACCCATCTTTGATTTACCACTAAGTGCTAGCTCGGGTAGGCAGTTACAGATTCTGGTCGAGAATCAGGGACGCCTTAACTATGGAAGGCAGCTGAATGACTTCAAGGGCCTCACGAAGGATGTGCGCCTGGACAAACAGATATTAACCAACTGGAATATGACCAAGTATCCACTAGAATCGTATGAAAACCTGGAGGCTCTCATAACCACGTCGACTGAAGCGGCAAAAGTTGGCTTTCAAGAGATTAGAAAACTAAAGACGGTACTACGAAATGGACCAGCCATCTATTACGGCACGTTAACCATCGACAGCGCCGATCAACTGGCGGACACATATCTGGATATGTCCGGCTGGGGAAAAGGTATTGTCTTTCTAAACGGCGAGAATCTGGGCCGCTACTGGCCTCTGGTTGGCCCGCAAATAACACTATATGTGCCCGCCGCAGTTTTAAAAGTAGGCAGAAACCGTTTGATCCTGGTGGAATACCAACAGACGCCCACTGCTATGGAGCTGCAGTTTCGCGATACGCCCATTTTGAATAGCAGAGTAAATTAGCTTAGACAACAACAGAACATCATGATATATGATATATGTACATTTTTTAAAATTAAGTTTTTTTGTAACGCATTGAAATCTGGTGATGGCTTCTTTTTTTCTTTTGTAAGCCTGCTGCTTAAAGACTCATTACAGCAGCAGGAGCGACAAAAACAGTTACCGGGAGACACGCATGTGACCTTTGTGCGCGTGCCGCCTTCCCAAATTAATCCCAAATGATTGAAGTCTACAGCAGCGCAGAGGCTGCTGAACCACATTCCGCAGAAGTTCAAATACGCCGTCTTGGCTCTATAGATATAGCGCCTCGGTTAAAATGTGGGTATATAGAAATATATGTGCTCGTCGACGCCAGATCCACAGACTTAATATATTATGATAGACCCTTTAAAATGATAACACATTGAAGCGATATTTAAGCGTCGCACTGTTGGCCTTGTGAGGATAACGGAACGTCTTAGTAAAAATGTAAAATAATAAAAAACGTACAGATTAAACGCCAAAAAAATGAAATTAAAAAAAACTCTGCGAATATGGTGAATTTTCAATTTGACTAAGAAAAAAAAATCACCATGATGTTAATGCTGAGTTAATTTGACCTACTTAACTTTCAATTCATGATCCCAAATTACCTATTAACTAAAATGTAAAATGTTTAATGCATTATGAGGTGCACACCCAAACAAAATTGTAGGCCTTTCGAATCGACGTCTCGGCTCAGGGTTAACATCGTGAATCTTATTTTTTTAATTTAAATTAATATATATTGTGAAATTTCTTCCACAGTTTAATAAAAGTTTAAAACATGCTTTCCGCAAAATTTATTTTCGATCGGTTCTTTCAGTTTACAGTCAATTTCAATATCTTTTTATAATGATTTCAAAAATATTTGAAAAGTGTTTTGTTTTTTGGGATCCTATTTTGCAGTGCATAGAAGTTTCCTCGATTTGATTCTATGTTTTCTAAAGCCTATAAATAGTTTGAAATATTTTTCAACAGATATAACCAGAAGCATAACCTTTAATATATCTATCTTGAGTTTCCAATAGGACCACCCTCTTGACCATCACGCTGCTGTATTGAGACCTGTACCTACAATTCTTGTTGTAGCTGATGTTCAAATCCATTAGACCGCGCTAGGGGCCTCACACTCGCAGCTAACCATCGGATATTTATTTTTTAAAGCATCTCTTAGGCGCAGCTGCAACTCGAGTACTTTGAAATGTGTACAAAGCCTGTGTAGGTGTGTAAGAGTGCTGTGCTGTGCACAAACATTTTGTTCTAGTTGCTACTCATGTACGTATTTATGTACTAATTGTGACTGTCCAAGTTGACATAAAACAAGTAATGGCCCAGAGGCTGTTTTAAAGCGTCGCCCCATGTTGCCCATTTGTAGTTTTTACAGAATTTTTATCTTTCGTTCCCGAATGGTGATGCGTGTGTCATAGCACAACACCGGATGCGAGTGGCTTTAGTAAGCTCCGAGCCGCGATGTGTGGCACAAGTAAATCTCCGCATTGATGTAGGTTTTTATTAGCTTTAGCCGCCGGCTGGCGTTCAAATGTCAAGTTGCTAACTATATGAAAGGTCACAAAACATTTTGATAAGATACAAGTGACCAATTACTAAGAAACATCTTAATTATTGTAAGTTCGGTGGACATCATTGAATTTAATTCATTGTCTTTAAGAAGTGGTATTTTCGCAGTCCACTGCGCATTATAGATAACATTCCTCAATTGAAAAAATTGTTATTAAAATTATTTGTCTATTTGTCCGAACCTTAATTATCTTTGAACCGTTAAATATTTTCTGTTCTTGAATATTTTCGTATATGTATAATAAAATTATTAATATTGTATGATTAAATATTAAGGATAAAATGAGGTCTTCCAGCAGAACCAATAATAAATTCTGTGTTTGAACTCATGGAAAGCAATCGTGCAGAGAGAACTAGTCTCTTGAACTTCTATTTTTGCCAAGCAAGCTTCAACGATTGAGAATGTTAAGCTGAAAAATCGTTTCGAGCTTCTTCACTTTGTCAACACTTAACAGTAAATGTTGATTATTTTTACTCAATTCGACACGCAAACAACATTCAGTCTGTAGCTTATTTCTTTTTTGTGTAATTATCTAAATGATTTCGAATTCGTTACAAGGCAAGATAAGGTTAACTGTCTGTAACAAAACAATTCAAACAGGCAGCTTAAATAATTTACGATAGAAGTCAGAAAATGTTGTACATATCTTAATTTTTGTTACAGTCTTACTTCGCAACATTGTAATTCAGATAAATTCGTATTTCCACAAACTATGAAATATGCTTGGTATTAAAAATTAAATATAACAATGCACTTACAATTTTGAATCGTTAAAATTTAAAATTTCAACTGTGTGCCTTGTGGTATTCTAACAGCTCTTTGTGAGCTACTTATTTTTTTACAATTGTCTTTTTATGGTACGCGGCGAACGAACACGCCGAGAAGTATGCAACAACTGAGCGACAGATCAAAGCGGCAATGGACTTTATAAATGCTCGCCAACGAAGAATACAAGTACAACCAGAACACACATACAGCTGGATACGTTTCGTTAGACACACACACAGCGAACAGGAAACGACAAGCACGAAGCAGCTCGTGAATCGCTCGGCTGTCGCTTTCCGCGTTCTTGTTCGTGCATATCAACAATTGGTCGAATAGAAATTCATATGTGCGTGTGTATATGTATTTGTGTGTGTGTTATTCACTGAGTGGTATGGGACTCGTGCATATGTATGCGAGCATACGTATAGCAAAGTTTTGGTATTGGTGTTGGTCTGCTTTCATGTGGGCGCCACTTTGTTGCAGAAAACAAAAAAAGGAATAACGGATGCATACTTTCAGGTCGCGGCGCGCAATTGAATTGGACGGAAATTTTGTTTGCATATGTGAATAAAACATTAAACAAGAAAAAATTGGGTCTGCCCTTGATATATATGTATATACAGGAAAATCATATGCAATCGAGCACCATTTGTTTTTTAAAATTAATTTTCCCAAAAAATTCATTTGGCCTGTTCCTATAAAAATCGATTAAAGCTGTTAACAAGTAACAAATATTAACTTTACAAAAATATCCATTGTTATATATTTGCATTTAGCCCGACTGTCATTATTTACACGATGCAACAACCTGCGTCATGCAGTCATGGGCGATGGCACGGAAGAAACAATACCATGCAAAAATCTGCATCTTTTAGGCGCGTACTGCGTTTAAACGTCGGACAGCACTTGAGGCGAGGCCAGAGAGAGCATCAACACCAAGACCTAGACCGAACAACCAGAAGGCAAGATATAAAAATACCACGTGCCACTCGTAAGGGCCAAGTGCATGCAAACATGACCGCCCACATCCGTTTATCCTTTGCTTATAGCCGAAAGGCAAGCGTTTATTACTGTACCCTGTGCAAAAAAACAACAAAATATTTAAACCAGAGTCTTTGATGCAAATGCAAATGCAAATGTATACAACCAAATAATGTAACAGTATGCCGCTGATCTAAGTAATTTGAGTATGACATCTGCCCTACTTTTCGTTTCTAAAGTTTCTAAGAGTATTCTTTAGGCAGCAGTGCCAAACGTATTCATAATTAAGCCAAGAATAATCAAGAATAATGCATAGGTTTCGTATTCTTCTTGTATCCGGCAGTCTAGCATCCATAGAAGTTGTCTAACCTTTTTTACCTATGGTGACTGTGTGTTTTTTTGTTTAACTAAAATTGAACATGAAAATAGCGATGTTGCTGTACTGTAGCTGGACGTTTATCGCGCATCCTCAACCTGGCATTCTTCGAAGGCAACGATTTTCGTGGCCATAAAACTCGATTGTGCAATGCTGCAATTTGCATTTAGATTGCCGGGCACTTATTGTAATGCTTACAACGGATATTGTATTATATAGTCAACGTTTCAATTAACAACATTCAGCCGTTGGCCTTTTTAGCAGACGTTCAAATATTTACGCTGGCAATGACAAACATAATTAGCATTTAATTAAACTAAAATTGCGCAATGCTTTTTTTGATAGACAAGCAATTGGTGATTTGATTATTGAAATCAAATAAAGCTGCCGCAAAAGCCTGCACGCCTTTGACAATGTAAATATACGTATATATATAATGCAGATAGCATGATCAAAGCCCTATTTACAGACCGTTGTATTCTGGGAATGGTATACCGTCAACCCCTTGACCCGACCAACGTATAAAATTGATAAAGCGCGGCAACAGTTTTGTGTTATTTTGCGGTGTGTCATTTGTCTATAAATGGAATTTATACTGTTAATTACATTATGGTCTCGGAAATGGCATTTATTGCCCGAGATAAGCCGCCTGACCACAGAATGTAGAGGTGGCGCCACCTGTTGTTCGTTGGAGTCGGCTGGAACAGCAGGTCGCACAAATTCAATTTGAAATTGCATTTAAAAAATGATGCAACACAAAAGAACAATTGAACTACGTAATAGAGAGTTGCCAATAGAGTTTATTAGCTGCATGGAGTGATTTTTGATATAACAAGACTGTGGATCAATAATTGTTGATACAATTATTTCTACCCATACCGTCAAGCCTTAACACCAAGCATTGTTAACAAGTACTTGACTATTATGGGTTAAAACATATGGAGCTACCCTCTTAGAACGCAAATTTCAAGCTTGTGCGTGATTCTCGTTTTTGCTGTCTGAATATTGTTGGGCAAACAAGCGAATTTTTTGCACATATGGAACACAGCAATTGATTGCCGTGATATGAGATATATGTATGTATTTGAAATTGGCACAACAATAATTTGATTACACCCAAACGCATCAACGCCGATAACACAAAATAGTCCATGTACGTATATATTGAATTGCATTGCTGAGTTACGATTTTCAATACCTAAGGTTTAATGAGTATTTTCGGCTAGAGACAAATTACAAACTAACAAAAATATACAACTGGAATGTAATATAATAAACAATCCTGAATTACGCATGAACAATTTTAGAAATAGAACCGTGGTCGTGGCACCACTAAAGCTTAGTTGCATACTAACACTTGCAATATGCATAAGATTACAATATATAATTGTATAAATTAACTAATCAAATAACTACGTGAGAATTTTTTGGCTAGGCAAGCTAATCAATGCGTATGACGCCAGCACCAACACCACCGCTGTGCGCGCACATTGGAGGCATGAAGGTCCACTTTTCTGTCTCCGGATCGTAGACTTCAACGGTAGACAGATTCGTTTCGCCATCATAGCCGCCTATAGCCCACAGCTTACCCATATTGGCAGCCAACGCGACTCGCGATCTTTTACAGTTCATGGGCGTCACCAGTTTCCACGTGTCTGTTAACGGATCGTAGCACTCCACTGACCGCAGAAACGAGTTGCCACAGTATCCGCCACACACATAGATTTTTCCATTGAGTGTGGCTACCCCCAATCGACAGCGACGATTGAGCATAGGTGACATCTTGATCCATATATCCTCGTTCTGATCATAGCGCTCCACAGAGTCGAAAATTGATAAGCCATCATGGCCCCCTAACGCATAGACGTAGCCATTAAGTTGTGTAACTCCGCCTGCTGACCGATATTTCATCATTTGGGCCACCTGAGATGATAGTGTTGGGTATAATGAGTTTCATCTGTGATATGTTGAAACAATTCTACACACCGTTTTCCACGTGTTGGTCTTAGGATAATAAACCTCGACAGTGTTAAGCGATGTAACGCCATCGTAACCACCACATACATAAATGCAATCATCCAAAGCAGCCACTCCAACGGCGCTGCGTTTGCACAACATTGCACAGCCCTGAGACCATTTGTTTTTGCGCGGATCATAGACCTCCACTGTCGATAGTCTTTCGGTGCCGTTGAATCCTCCAAACGCGTACAATTTACCGTCCAAAACAGCCACACCAACTCTTGAGCTATCGATTAAATATTAAATATATGAATTTAAATACAATTAACAATATATACATGGGAATTTAAACTTACCGCATCATGGACATTTGTTCACCCATTTTCCACTTTTTAGTAATCGGATCGTAAATCTCCACAGTACTAACCGACTCACCAGTGCTAGCTAGACCACCTACGGCATAAATTTGGCCTGTGAAGAACTCGCCGCATCGTTGACGGGTGCGAAAACTTTGAAGCAAGCCACGGCGCTCAGGCATCAAATGAAAGTCTTTTGCCTCATCTAGCAGATCTCGACATTGGTGAGATGAACGTATTAATTCCTCGCGTGCAACACGGTCCGCTAAAAATTGCGGTGATAAGAGCGGCAGACGCACTGCGGCCAGTACTTGCGGAAATAGCTCTGAACGCTTCTCCTCGGCGTATTTAACCCAACGCATGCAAGCTTCAAACACAACCTCCTCGTTGCGCACGTTAAGTCCATCGCGTCGCATTAGTTCCAGCAACTGTTCGCAGTCCAGTGAAAGGAACTCCTCAGATTGTGATACCTTGGCAAAGTTTTGATCAATGTACTTGTCCGCGGCATCGGTTAAGTGGCGACAGATCATCGAGTCGCCAAAGGTGCGTATTCCCAGCACATTATGCGGATGAAAGCGGGAGATGAGAAAACCAGCGCAGGCGTCGCGCACATTGGAAAGTTGCAGAAACGAAGCGCCCACCATAAGGCTCTGGACGTTTTGGTTATCGATTCGAACCTGCCCGCTATATACATAATTAATCAGACTTTCCAGAGCGCTAGGTTCAATCTCCTTCATAGTGATTTCTCTGATTCGACTCTCCGCCATGTTGTTGGTGAACATTGCATAAAAGTATGGTACAGTGGCAGCCAGAACAACGCGATGCGCCGAGAATGTCTGATCCTCAACCTGTATGTGCATGCGTTTATATTTAGAAACTGACAGTAGATAATGATAATGCACAGATCCGGAGATGGCAACCAACCTTCAGTGTGACATCACAAAGTTTGCCCAGTCTTCGTATCTCCTTGAACAATGGAAAACTTTCGCAGAATAGCTGTTCATGCTTGTATATTAAGGATTGATCCTCCAGTTGATTGTCGCTCAGATCCATGCTTATGGTCTCAGGCTCATTTACTACCAACAACAACCAAAAACAAATCCACACTGCAATAAAATACTTCCAAAAATACCAAAATAAACAATCGCTAGAGATGGACAAAAATAACGATTTCTTAGTCACTGTTAATACTGTGAAATATTACTAGATTCCAAACAAATTAAACAAGTGTAGATTTAACAAGCTTATATTTTATTTGACATTTATCAAACAAACCATTTAAAATATCGAAAATGATTTAAAAATGTATGATATATGTCTGATATAAAAACATAACTTAAATTAAGTTTAATTACCAACAGTAAAATAGTTTCAACTTGTTTCGATTATGGGTGTTTTTGTGAAAATATCGATAGAAAATCAGCTGATTCATACAAAATCAAACGTCAACTGCAGGGTGACCGTCTGA